CCACCTTAGGTGTATGTGGCTGGCGCCTTAGCCGCTTGAGCCACAGGCGCCGAGCCAAGTCCTTAGGTCTTAAGGATGAGAGCAGGGCTGGCCAGCTGGAACTCTGGTCCACTTGTCTAGGGTGGAAGGATTTCTTTTCCGAACTTCCCAGCAGAGGCAGTGACTCAGGGTGACTATCTCTTCGCAGGAATCATAAACTGAAACCCATTTAGAGGAAAGTTTCACTTCGATACTACCAAGTTGTAAAAATGGGCAAGAAAGTCGCATTTGAGTGGTGCCAGGTGCCAACATTATGCAGCTACTGAGCAATTACTAATGGTACCTAATTATGCATTACAATGAAATTGATGGTCACCGGGAAGCTCAAAGCCTACAAGCTCTGCCCCTCACCGGCCCCTTCGCCTTTCCCAGGGGGCGCTCCGACCCGAGGCAAGAGATGGCCTAACTGACCCCTCAGGCCTGCCTACAGCCAAGGCAGGGAAGCCCAAGAACTCGGGGCACAGAGAACAGTACTCCCCGGGAGCTCTGCAGGTTCCCAGCCTGCCTCTCTCCCAGGCCCTGACGAGATCACAGCTGCTCTCGCGAGAGCACTAGCGAGGCCTGGCTCCGGCCGCGGGATGTTGGAGCGTTCCAGACTGCTCCCCCGCTGGCGCAGCTGGGAGAGGCGCGGCCCAGGAACGGCCCCGAGCAGCCGGCAGCGCGCACGCGCAGGTGAGCGGGAGGCCGCGGGGGCGCGGGGGCAAGAGGGAGAGAGGCGGGGTTTTGCGTCCCGGCGCGGGCACGTTGCTGCGCGTCCTCAGTATTTAATGTCTCTCTGTTCCACCCGCCTGGGCTAGCACGTGGGGGAGCTGCCCGGGCGCCGCGTTGCGTGGCCCGGCCGCAGGGCAGAGGCCGGGGCCGGCTGGGCCGGCGGCGGCGGCGTGCGGAGTCTGCACGCCGACTGTTGTCGAGGAGCTGGTAGGTTGGGCTCCCGGGGAGGACTGGCCCGGGGATCTTCCTGCCGAAGCCTCGAGGGCAGCGCGGTCAGGGTGGTGGGAGCCTGGGGTGCAGGTGCAGGGTGCGACACGCATTCCAGGTGCTCCAGGGGACTGAGTGTTGGGACGCCGAGCGTGTTCGGAGGGCTCCCTGCCGCCTCCCGCTGTCAGGCGGGCCCTTCTTCTCTTCCCCTCGCCTGCGCGTCCCCCTAGTCCTCCTCCCCCGCTGGGTTGTGTGCTCGCGGGCTGACAGATCGCGTGTGCCCGGCTCTGGGCGGCGCTCTGCAGCCTCACCGTACCCCCACGCGGCGTCGCCGTCCTAGTCTGGGGGGCGAGGACGCGACGCCCGGGACGCATCTCTGTACCTTAACTTTCCCGGAGCGCGTCCCACCCAAGGTCGCCCAGCCCCACATGCGTTTACTTTTCAAAGGTCGTATGTACCCAGTCTGAGCCGGGAGAGGCGGCGGCTGGGCATGCTGTGGGCAGGGCCAGGTGTTCAGAAGGGCAAGGAGGTCCCCCAAGCCTGCGGGAGTCCCTTATGTCCCTGCGGAATTGGAGTTTAATTGGTCGCTTCTGGAGCCTCGCCCAACTTCTGGGGCTCGTCCTGGGTTGCACCCTGTCGAAGGCCGGGCGGCGGAGGCAGCCCGGAGCAGGTAGCCCAACGCCGGGAGTACAGCGCGGAGAACAAGTGGAAAAGGCTCGGCCTACGGAACGGGGAGGTTGGGCTTCGAGGCCGGGTGTGAGCCGGTCGGATCGTGTTTCGGGTGGAGGGACCCTTTGAACCCAGTTGGGGTGCGGAGGTCGAAGGCTTGGGGGCTTCGAGGGAGATTCGCATGTGTAGCCCCTTGAGCGTGTCTAGTCTGGTGTGCCCGCTAACTTCAACCTGGGGGCGCCGAGGGTCACGTGTTGGCCTCCTCCTGCGGCCCCAAGTCTAAATTAAGGACAGCGATCTGAAGTGACCACGCTTGTTTTGGGGGTTAGGAGCTACAGTCGGCTTGGAGAGGCCAGGGTCTGGACGCCTGCAGGGCGGGCTTTCCAGTGTTCAACTACTTTGTGCCCTAGGTTAAGGTTCTTCTATTTCCCCTCCTAGGGAGGGATAGGAGAGGAAAAGTGCTGCTGGTGGTGAGCGGTGTAGTAGCGACTCCGGACGGCGTGGAAACTCTGGGCGTTCTGGGATCTCCTTTCCTGGGGAGACGTCCAGGTTGGCGGACGCGCTTTCCTGCTCCTCTGCGGCGATTAACCCAAACCCGGTGGACTTCGCTCCAGGTGCGGGGTGGAGGCCTCTCAAATCGGGTAGGGTGTAGGCTCAGGGCAATTAGTGAGGTTAAGCTATCCTTCTACTGAAGTGCAGGCTTTTTGGTATTTACATTTATCTCCTACGGTGAAATCTAGGCTGCTGGACCTAACGCAACCACCCACGTCCCTTAGTTACTGATCAGGGAACCCCAGTTCACAAAACGCTATTAATTCTGGCACCTAATAAACTTACATGCTCCTGTAACTGCTAAGTCCTTCCCAAATTAGTACCTTGTTTTTTTTAAAAAAAAAAAAAAAAAAACAACTCTTCATTTAGAAAGCAAAGCTTGGACTTTAAGCATCACCTATCCACTTTGCTCTTAAAGGTACAGAGCATCTTTGAAGTGAAGTGGGCTGCCTCCTTGATCATTTATCTGATTTCTCTGTTCTGGGCACTCAAGTGGTTCACCTGCTTATTATTTAAGACTTTTTCCGAGCACTGGAAACAAGTGGAGTTATATTTTGGAAGTTTTTTTGACTTGTGTAGAACCTTTTCTCTTTCACTTCTAATAAGTTTTGTAGATTCTGGATAATAATTCCTGGGTGTATTCTCTGTGGCTCTAGTTAGGGGAAGTTCTATGTATCCCACAGATATGCAAATCACTAAAGCTTTTAGTCCATTACTGGATTGGGCTCTCTTGTCTTGCATGTTATTAGGTGAAGGCCCAAAACTTTGGAAACTGATTCTAGCCTGTGGGTAAGATTTATGTAGGTGGAGTACCTTTCCCACCTCCCTGCTGTTTCTAGGAAATGCATTCTCACTTGGCTACTGCAGTGGAGCTGAGTGTCTGTTGTACATGGCCTCAGGTGCTGAGTAGATGTGTCTTCAGTTTAAGGTTGCTGACCATCAATATTTTAAAGCCATTTGTCTTGGTTACCTGGTAACCCAGATTATTTTTGAGCTTTGGATGGATAACCATAGTTTCTGAGAAAGGCCTCCACAGAGTTCTTTCCCCGTCCTAAAGACAAATTGAGATCATATTTGTGAGACTGAACTGTGCTTAGTTTACGATAGGTGCTTAAGCACTGCTGCTGCTCCCCTCCCCCAAGCCCTGAGACTTTCTCTGGAATCACTTCAGTGTTTTACATTTTATTAAAAAGCACCACTCCTCCTAGCTTCTGACCTAGAAACTTGGTTGGAAGGAAAAGGGAAACAAATTGGTTTCCCCAAGCCTTGCCAGCTAACCTCCTGGCTCTAGCTTGCCACATGACTTGATGGTGTGGGCATTTCAGAACTTTGAAGAGCAAGCAGCTTGTAGCCCCATGAACCTGGAGAGCTGTCTTGTTTTCCCTAGGCCATTCCATCCTAATCTTATCTGTGAGTTTAGAATGCTCCAGCTTCCTTGTAGCTTCGTGGTTTTTCCTACTGTGGGGAAATGACTTGTTTTGGGTATGAGTTAATACCTTCAGCTTCCCACCAGGGGAAAGTGGTGAGTCTGAGGGGCCTCCAAAGTCATCTCCTACTGTTTGAGAGTTGCTAATCTCTGTAATGGGGTATATGTAGTGTCCCTGGCTTGTTTCACTTTTATGGTCATTTCATATCAAGTACCCATCCTATGGGGTATCCCCCTGACCCTACTAGCCCTGGCACGTAATTTTAAACTTGGGTAGTAGAAAACAGGATCAATGAGCATGTTTGGAGTAGGGCAAGGTCTGGCTGGAGAAATAGTGAGGACTTGGGGATTAAAATTTGGAGGCTGCCTCTTCCTTGACAGTTACTGTGCTAGGTGTTACAAGCAAACAGCGGCCTAATCCTTTAATCCTCACACCTCTGAGTACAATGAAGATGAAGCTGGAGGTCATTCTGCATTGTTTCAATGGCTATCACAAAAATACAAATTGTGGGGTAGGGAAACAAGTATGCATTTGGACTTGAACTGGGAGGGCTTTTGTGAGAAGAACCAAGGAATACTGTTAAATCTGTGGGCTTCTCTCCTAATCTTTCTACTGCTTTCTGAGCAGATTGTTGCAGTGAGTGTGTGTTGTCATTCAACATTCTGAGGACTGGCTCCCCAATAATAGCAGGTTTTGAGCTGTCCTTTTCCTTAACTTTTTCTCGGGCTTGAGTGGTGCGGGCCTGCCTTCTTTTGTCTAGGTCCTTGCCAACTGGACATTTCTGTGGCTTTGTTTGCTAGTTTGCTGCAGGTAGTAGTAAACATTCTGTTCTCTGTCGTGTCTTGCTGGCTGGCTCTGCTCACTTAGCCCAGCTTCCCACAGGCACTTGGGAACAAAGCAAGGCCCCAAGGCGAGTTCTGGAAGTATGGGTATTTAGGGGTCAAGGTTGAAAAGGCTTGCTTTACTGCTGGGCTTAGCTGGCAAGAGCCCTGGGTTTTAGTTGAACTATCATAGCTGAAGCCTGGCTGTGGCCCTAGGCAGGCCTGTAGGTCTTCTGGGGTTCTTGGTTTCCTTTCTTTTTCTTTCTTTTTTTTTTGTTCTTTTCTTTGAGACAGAGTCTCACTATGTCACCCTCAGTAGAGTGCTGTAGTGTCACAGCTCATAGCAACCTCAAACTCTTGGGCTTAAGTGATTCTCTTGCCTCAGCCTCCCAAGTAGCTGGAGGCAGGGGCCTGCCACTATGCCCCCACTAGGATTCTTGGTTTCTTCAAATGATAAAAGAGGGTTGATCAACATTACAAAGGCTTTCAGGTTGTGCTGGACTGAGTGGGTAGTACAAGTCAAAGATTTAAAAAATCCACTGTTTTCTGTTCTTATCAAGTTCTCTTAGCTACGGTTCTAAATATTTTGTTGTTATTTTTGGACAGTCTCACTCCATGGTAGAGTGCCATGATGTCAACATAGTTCACAGCAGCCTTAAACTCTTGGGTTCAAGTGGGCCCCTTGCCTCAGCCTCCCCATAGCTGGGACTACAGGTGTCTGCCATGGCGTCCAGGTAGTTTTTCTATTTTTAGTAGATATGAGGTCTCATTCTTGTTCAGGCTGGTCCCAAACTCCTGAGCTCAAGCAATCACCTGCCCAGGCCTCCCAGAGTGCTGGGATTACAGGTGTGAGCCACCACACCTGGCCTAAATTTTTTTTTTTTTTGAGACAGAGCCTCAAGCTGTCCCCCTGGGTAGAATGCCGTGGCATTACAGCTCATAGCAACCTCCAACTCCT